GTTTGTTTTGACTGGCGCCCAGCAGCACTTATAATAATAATTACATAATAAGTCATATATGTATTTAGTGATTTCATCAAATATTTTCGATAGTTGTGTGATATTGTATTAAGAAAAGGAGAGCAATACAATGTTTATAAAAACTATTTTTTTTGCCTAATATCAAGAAGTCTTATTGACGTGAAGCTCAAGTCGTCATCCACTTATTAGTATTAGTACCTATCTAGTTTTTCTTTCAAACACAGTTACTATGAACAAGAAAATTGTATAGCAAATAGTTTGTATACGTCTTTGTTTGTTTGAAATGTTCATAATAAATGGGATACAGTATCGAAATTGCAGCTCTAGTCGAACAACAAACTAGGCGCTGGCAACTATGAACTGCAGTCCGTAACAGCACTGTGGTAACACAGTTGTAAACGGCGCGGCGGCCAGTCGTCCTGCCGTTTCCTGCGCTCCTCCGATATCGCTTACAGCGTCTAACTGGGTCACACAACTTCTGTGCGCTTCTGATGTCCTGGTACCTGGCTATTTATAATGTTAGTATCCTATCCTACTAAATATTATAAATGTGAGAGCTTGTATGGTTGTTTGACTCTCACAATAAAGCGGATTTTGGATGATATTTGGCATATATCTATATGTATAGTTTATCAACTAGATCGATTCATAGGATATTTTGTCGTCGCGAGCTCATGCTAGTTATTCAAAACTATCGTATCACTTTATGAATATTCTAAAAATAAATGATATCTATAGATTTTTTTATTACTTCATTATTCGTATTTAAGTTTATTAACACATTGTTAAAATATTTTAATGCGAAGAATCACTCGCACCGTTCCCTGACCCAATCCCCTACCCAGTGGAGCCCTGAAACCTTACTCACCGACAGAAACACAACATCACCAAAAGGAAGTGTTATTTGAATGTAATCTCCTGTTACTTTCCCAGACAGGCGCTCCAATACAAGCAGACAATCCGCTATGCCCTACCTCTCTTATTTGATTTTCAGACTAACGAACAAAACTTAGCTAAAATAATAGCTGGGTATTTTAATATTATAAGTGTATTCTTGTCAGGTCTGATAATTAGCCAATAAAAGCAAGAGTAAGTAAATATCATCACCACACTGTTGATTTCCCCACTTTTGGGGATTGTGTCCCCACAATGTGTTGTGAAAAATAAATTGGCCTTTAATATCTGCAGGATCAGATATAATACATTAGAACGGACCAGAATGAATTCTCGTAGGCTCAGTGCGCATTGTAGGTTATGCACCCATTTATGGTCAAAAGTTTACTTTTATTATGTTTCAGTATATGCATTCTATCCGTTATCCTAGTATCTCATAACACAAGCCGTACAGTGCCTACTTTGAGGCTAGGCTAATAGATGTGTGTGTTAGATAAAAAACAGCCTGCATATAATACAGTCGGGATTAACAGTTTGACGTGCCTCCACAGCCCGGAGGAGCTCGACATAAGAAAATTTTGGTCACCCATCTCATGACAGGTATTGTGAAAGTTGCTTGACTATCGCAGACTGAACGCTAAAACGGCTGAGCAATCGAGCACTTCGTTCATTACTATCATTCATAAATCTTAATTTATATTAGTTTACCATAAATAGTCGGTAAACATTTACCTATTATGACACATTTAAGATCGTATTGTGTCCTTAATGAGGTTTTCTTACTTATTAATGAATAAAGGAATATCGAGTGCGTGAATAAATTTAAGTTATTTAAACTAAATAGAGTTATTGGGTTATGTGTAAACAACGTGTAATATCCTGAAAGTAGTCTGTTACAAATTAATTAATATAAATAATTTTTATTTTCATTCAACCAGTGATATTTCAATATTAGGGAAATTATTTAATATACAATTACATTTAAAAAAGTTCTTATTGCGTCGTATTATTAATCGTATTAGTAAATTATTTTTTCGGTTTTTTAAGATATTTCTTTACTGAATTCGATTCAGAAATCAACTTCAAACTGCTTTCAGGGTATGCGTTTTTTCTGAATTATTACTGTAATATTTTATTTTACATTGTGCTTACTTTGGGGCTAGGCTAATTGGTGTGAGTGTTGAAAATATTTATTATCTTATTTATTTTATTTTATTTGAATGTAAACCTATACTGCTGATATGTGAACTTACTAAGACTACCTACTCATAAGTTTGCGGTTTATATAGGTATTACTCAAACATTTTAACCAAACTATGCCAAATTTAAACTGAAATAAATGTATTGTTCATTTCTGCTAAAGTGAGTAATTGTATGAAAATAAATATAGAAAATGGTAACGGTTTTCTGAGAAATAAATGTAATTGAAATACCTACGTATACCTTTTTTATTATACTCGTTGAGATAGATCCGACATATTTGTAAACATAACATAGTTTGTGCTGGACATTTTTGTAATAAAAATAAATTGAATTGTTATTTCTAACAAAATTATCGATTGCTCAAAAATACCTTTAAAACAACGTTCAATTATAAGCTAAATATTTTTCATCCCACCACCTCGGAAAGTGTAATTTTGCGCTTCGAAATCTGGCTGGAAAATTCTATTTTATTCGCTTGAGCGGCAAAGTAGATTTGAATTTAGAACATCACATATAATGAGTACTCAATATAATTGTAAATTCAAAACGTCATTAAACCTATTTAATGTAACCTCTATGGTGCCAAATTTATGATTAGAACTTTTTAAATTGTGAAAAAATTTAAATTTGGAACCTTCTTGGTTTCTTTGTTTTATTTGCGTGCTTCGCGCCATTCTAGTTTTTCACGTTTTATTGCTTAATATAATTAACATAACCTAAAAACTGTACAAAAAAATCAACTAAAATGAGTGACATTAGCGACGATGAAGTTTATCTAACGCCAACTGAGTTAACTGAAACAGTTAATAATGCGCAAATGAGCCTTCTCCCTCAGCAATCACGAGAGAAGTATTTGAAACAGTACGATATATTTAACATGTGGCGACTAGCTAAAGGAGCAAAAACTTTCTCCGAAAACGTTTTGCTGGCATATTTTATAGAATTATCTGAGACCAAGAAAGCAAGCACGCTATGGAGTACGTATTCAATGCTAAAATTAACAATTAAGATGAAGAAAGACGTTCATATCGACACCTATCATAAATTAGTGGCATTTTTAAAAAGAGCCTCATCTGGTTATAAACCAAAAAAATCGAAGGTTTTCACAGCATCTGAAATTGCAAAGTTTATTAATGAAGCACCTGATTCCGTATATTTAGCGGCAAAAGTAAGTCAATACGTGTAATTTTTTGTTGTTGATAAAATTGTACATAGTACTTACAATATTTTTAATTTGATTAATTTATTTACGATTATAAATACTTCTTTTGTTACAGGTTGTTCTTATTATTGGTATAACCGGAGCATGTCGAACAAATGAACTTACACTACTTAATGTCAATAACGTATCAAAATATTCTCATAATTCTGATGAATTGCTATTAATTAATGTACTAAATACCAAGACAAAAAAAGACCGCAACTTCGTTATTCGCAAGGAATATGTAAACATTGTTCAGAAATATCAAGCTTTACGTCCTTCTAACACCCCAATTGAACGATTTTTTCTACAATATCGCAACGGAAAGTGTATCCGACAACCTATGGGTCAGAATAAAATTGGCAGTATTCCACGAGAAATAGCAACTTTTCTCGGACTTTTAGAACCCCCGTTATACACCGGTCACTGTTTTAGAAGAACCTCAGCCACACTTTTGGCCGAATCAGGGGCTGATCTTCTATCGCTTAAGCGCCATGGAGGCTGGAAGTCTAATTCGGTTGTAGAGGGATACATAGAGGATTCAATCCAAAGTAAATCAAAAATTTGTAATAGTATCGTGGAGGCCATAACGCTGAAAGAACCTCTGTCAGATTCTTGGTCTCGCCCTTCTACATCTAAAATGAGCCCCCATAAGATTGGAAACAATAGCCCTCTCTCGCCAACATTTACGCCAATAGAATCCAATGAATCGGCACAACTATTTAAAATTACTGATACGAGTAGTTTACCACAAAACAGCGCACAATTCACAAACACCAACATAACATTACCTAACAAAAATATTAAACTTAACATAAGTAACTGTAGCAACGTTACATTTAATATTTCTTAATTATTTTCTACTTCTTATTATTTTCTTCAATTTATAGATTATCTTAATGTGTTTTAATTGAAATAAAAATATTTTGTCATTATAAATTGTTTTCTTTTTCATTTTGTCATTTCCTCGCTGAGGTGGGATGAAAAGTTACGTATTGCACTCGAGTGGAAAGATTTTTCACCTTGTGCTCGTTTGTTTCCCTCGCTGACGCTCAGGATTCTAATTTAGAATCACTCGCTGCGCTCGTGATTCAACTTTAGAATCCTTCGCTTGCTCGGTCATCCAAATCGAGCACGCGGTTAAAAAGGAACTTTCCACTCTTGTATAATAAATAACTATTCCTGTTAACGTAGTAAGGGTTATATTTTTATGAACATCAGTGATTGATAGTTAGTCCTTGGCAATCGGATTTTGTTCTATCTCCTCGTATATTTGCATTATACATATTTCTAAGCAATAAATGTTACCGTACTTCCCCCAAGCTTTACCTGCCGCCATTTACATTTGAATAGGGCTAATTCTTTTTAATGACAACGCACTTCCTATCCGAATATTTGATTATTTGCAATAAGAATGTAACACGGGACCACAATAGGCATGCGATGATAAAAAATGACGATATATTTCGCTCTATTTGCCACCCCTGAGTCAATTTGCTAGTTCGTTCGCTGAATGTTCTCAACTCGATTGGGCATTTTTAATTAGTATAAAGTATACTTTTTACAGTTTTCATGAAAACTGTGTGACAAATATGTGAAGAGATCCCGAGAAAAAATATTCATAGTGTCAAATAGAGTGAATTAAATGTTCCTGGATGCGTCACTCGTCGACCGATCTGTAGGGCGACCGGTTGGGGCGAAAGTCGACGACGGCCACACAGTTGGACCGCCACGGTACCACGCCACAGTCTCATCTAAGCCGCAGCTATGCGCACATCCTCCCTATTATAGCCGAAATACCATTCGCACTTTATCGGGAGCGCCCCGCTTCACGACGCGTACGCGAAACGAAAGTTGCGAATCGACGCGAATATCCCTATTTGAATTTTTGTTTTTTTTTAAACTTTCCGAACGAAACTATCAGAAAAGTTGCAGTTGGCGGGCAAACGGTAAAGTTGTGTGTTGTGCAAAAAGTGCGTTTAGACGTTCAGAGCTTACGCAGATTTGTATTTATTTTGTGTGCTACCTATATCTCGATGTGCAGACTGATTGTATTGGTGTGAAGTGTATTTTTTTTTCATTTTGTGCACAATTATTATTTGGATTATTTTGCTCCGGAATTTTTGGTTGGTTATTTTTTACTTATTTTTTCTTTCAAACTTGCTTTTTCAACTTTTACTTGGAAAAACTTTGAAAGCTGTGCTAATATTTGTCGGTGTGTTGAGGAAAATCTTAAGAAAAGCGCTCGTAGCGAGAGCGTACGATCGCGCCGACTTAAGTTCTACTTACTTTTCAAGTATTTGCGAGATACGACGCGTAACTTGCAAAAATAATAGTGTAGGACCATCTTCAATTACATGAAGCTTAGGTATATAACTGTAAATTTTCCATCATCTATGCTTTTTATTGAAAGGCTTAAAAACTTTCTGTAGTTTCTTTTGATGAAACAAGATTAACATGTACTAATTTAGATTGAAAAATCGACGTTTCTCTCTAGTATAACATTATGATTACCGGTGTTTGAACATGATGAGGAGGTCATCAATTTCATTGGAGTGACAAATACGATCGTGTTTATTACTAGGAGGCTGTTCGCTAGATAACACTTGTGGAAGCTTGCGTCTTTCACTGCATTCGTTATATAAGATGCATAAGTGTTCACATAATTAGGTAATGTCGATAATCTGCTACACATACTTCTCTTTATTTCATATTTTATTTAACTTTCACTTACAGGTCGCGTAAATTTTTAGATTTACCCAAATTAAGGCTTATCCACTTAATCGTGTCGATTTTGGCATGATGCTCTAAACTGAAAATAAATAAAAAAACGCTAAGTTTTGATGAACGATGTTTATTTCAATAGGTTGTGATGATTTAGTGACTGTAAAAATCTGTACCACTATTTTGCCACAATTGAAGAAAATTTTATACTTTCACATCCGTAACTTAAGACAAAATAATAAAAATAAAATCACATTTCTAACCAGTATTTATTCTGTTGAAAATCCTTTTCGCTTGCATTCTTTTTAAAAACATTCTCGTTTAAGATTTGTAATAAGACGGGAACACACTTTTATATATGAGCAGGCATTTAATTCATTTTGAACGAAAGGCGGGAACGAGTCAGGAAATGATTGATTTCTTGTCGCAAAGCGTCAACTCATTCGCGGGAAGAAGAATTAACATTTTAGAGTAATATAGTAGAATGTCATGTAAAATACTTTATTTAATGACATACTGTTAATACTTTATTTAATTTGTGACACATTGTTGTATTGTTTAAAGCGTTGAGCGCGAATTCAAATACTTTTGTTAATCGTAATTCTAGTGGCATTTTTATAAAAAGTTTCCATTTTTATTCAATTAGATTTTACCTTTATCATATGCATCGATCCGAGATTCAGTCTACTTGATACCAAATGTTATCCAAATTTATAACACTACCAAAAGAAGTGTTTGTTATTTTACCGTGATTCTTCTGTGAGTTTGAGCTTATTTCCTTAGGCGAGCAGTCTTTAAAAGCATTTCCCTACCTCTATCCAATCAATGTTAGTTAGAAATGTTTTCCCAACTCTTTTGCGGTTTACAACGATCGGCATCAATTTTGTCTTCTGGAGCAGCCAATCAAATTTTCCTATGAAAATGCTCACGAAAATGATCAAATCTCTAAACTGCTGCATCTTTTTTATATTAAAAGGGTGGCAAACAAGAGCGTATAGCCCGCATAATGGTAAGCAGCCACTAAAGCCTTTAGACGTTTGTGATACAAAAAATATCATGCGCACCGTTGTCAACCCTGACCCAAACGCCTAACTCTTGGAGGGCTCCTAGGACCGAACCTTACTCACCGACAGAAATACAACACCACCAAAAGGTAGAGTTATTTTTACTGTGATCTTCTTCTGTAAGATTTCGGTTGCTTCCCTAGACGGGTGCTCTAATTCCAGAGGAAAATTCGTTTGCCCATCCTTTTGACGTGACAACGTCTTAAATTAGGTTGCGGCTGGGAGTCACTTATGAAAAAGTGTAACGCTCGGTAACGTTACGATGAGTCTCTCGTGTTAAGTTTAAGTTTACATGTACAATGTTTTAGTAAACAAAATATATTTCTATAGTTAAAATTTGTGCAATTCTTATTTTCATTCAATTCCTTGTTCCTATTGTGCAATTTAATTATATTCATATCAATAAATATTCTACCGAGAAAAAGACGTTGTCACGTAAAATCTTCGCCCGTAAAACCGACTTTACAGGCAACCATTTTTTTTTTTTTAAATCTTTGGTAGGTGGTGTTCTTAAAGAAACAATTTCAGGCTTGTTGGCCTACTCCAAAAACTGTGAAGCAAAAGCGGCCAAAATACGTCTTAAAATTTGAACATGCGTTTATTGCATTCGGGACCGGAAACCTGATTCTTTTCGGTAGAACTGTTAAAGTACATTAACTAAGGCATATTAAGATTATGTATTTTTTACATCATACATCTAGAAGTATTGTTATAAAACTTTCTTTAAATAAAGATTAAAGGGAAGTCAAGTGCAGTACATCAATTTTTTCGACTGTACATTTAGATTTTTAAGACAGATTTCAAAAATTCTTTGCGCAGCTTGTATGTGGAATTATGGATTGAAAATTACTTTTTTGATTAATAAATTATAATGAGGATATTGATAATTTAGTTTTATGTGCTTTTATGTAGTGCAATTGTAAACGGAAACCATAAGTTTATTACTATCTGCCTAATACCTACTATCTACCTAATAGGCAACGCTGCGTGTGATATTTTTGATATAGCAAGCGACTGTAGGCTATGGTACCGCTTGCCATCAGATGGGTCATATGTTTGTTTGCCATCCTTTTAACAAAAAAAACTTATATATATATATATTTCTGAGCCTCGGACCTCGGCTCTAGTTAGCCGTTGTCATGGGGGCGGGGGCCGTTAATCGTCATGATGGACGTTTAACGTACAGTTAGCGCGCGTTCTGAGTGCAGTCGAGGTATGAGGTTGGGCGCCCAAACTCTGGCGCCTTGCATGCCTGCAGTGTTTTAACTCGAGCTGTGTTTCCGAATACATACGCATTCATCAGAGTTGCACTCATATCGCGTACCTTAAACGTCCATCATCGCGATCATCAATTGCATTTCCCGTTAGTGTGACCCCGGCATCACTGATTGATATAAAAAAAAATCACGATAGCTAGAACATTAACATTAATTTTTACATTTTACTTTCATGATCCAACTTAATTTTATTAAATGAGAATGTGTGTGTGTCTTTCTATGACCTTTTCACGCTTAAATCACTGGATCGATTAAACTAGGCAGACGAAGTCGCGGGCACCCACTAGTGTTGTATATGAAAGTTTCTATGGTTGTAAGTTTGTTACCCAAACAACCAAAATGGCTTAACGGATTTGGATGAAATTTGGTATTTGGTAACACAAACAGTTAATTATCACGATTGAGAAATAGAATACTAAAGTTTTTATCATTTGTTGTTTGTTATTACAATAAAATCTTATACCATAAAAATAAAATAAAATCTTATTTATCTACCATATACAGATGGACGGCCAGCGAAAACTTGTGAAATAGGTTAGTTATTGGTACGGAACGAATTATTCGGTCACCCACCTTATGAACGGGACAGCTTAAATAACCTTGTACGTCATATTTCAAAGCTCCACATTTTATACAAAATAAAATAATCTTACAATATAAAATTCTTACCTGCAAATTACCCGGTTCTTAGTCATCGCGACACATAATCAAGTTTGTGTGTTTGCGTTCTGCGTGTCTCAATATTTATTTAAATTCACATCCACTACCGAACGTAATAAATATCTAATGCACATTAAATAAAACGATTTTTACGGGTTATATGCACTGAATTTATTAATCTGACGTTTCACAGCCTTTTCAGGACTGCGTCTTCAGAGATAATGATTTTTTATTTACTTTGTCAAGCTACCTTCGAAAGACTTTTATTGAGCGTTCGGATATTTCATTGGAAGATTTTTAAAACTTTATTGTCTCTACTATCTATTGCACATTTCCAGGAAATATATCAAACTTGTTTTCCCATACACCATGAGAATAGTGTTATTGACTTACCGAATAACAACCCCGACCGTCTGAACTACAGTTCGCATCTTTGTTACTGTGACTTGAAAACTTCCAGTATATAAGCGTTGCGCTTTAAAAAAGATGTCTTCGAACTCTTTAAAGAAAACGTCCGTGATTTTTGGCAGAATGTTACTTGTTGTTTTGAACTTCTTCCGGTGGAAGATAATATCGATTCGAACGGAAGTTTTAGGGGTATCACTCCTTTATTTCTTAAAATTTTCTTCGTGCAAAGTTTAAGTTTAGTCTTCTCCTGTGCATTAGTGGCAAAATTTTGCAAACTTTCTTATTAATGCATCTTTAAAAAGTATATTTATCATCGCGCTCGCTAAAAAAATGACATTTATTACCGTGATATTATCTTTGCCCCCCACTATGGCTAAGTCAAAAGGTGAATCATCCAGTAGCTCCTATTTAAAAGACTGACAATTTGGACGCGACCAAAATACATGGCCTTTTGTTGAAATTTTTTTTTGTGCTCTAGACTTTCAGCTCTGTATAGAGAGCTCAGGTATGGTGGGAGTACTTCACAAGGTGCAAGGTCAAATAAATAACCAATCAGCCTAGCCCCCAGTAAGGCTTGTGTTATGTGATACCAAGGTAATGGATAGAATACATATACTGTACATATTTAAGTATATTTATATAGAAATACATATTAAACATCCATGACTGAAGTACAAAATGCTCGTGTTCATCACACAAACATCTGCCCCCACCGGAATTTGAACCTCTCGAGTAGGCCACACTATGAAAACCGGCGTACAAACCACTTGGGCACGGAGGTCGTTTGGTTATTTCGCCGTAGCAATGAAACAGAGAAACTATTCCTTTTTGTTAAACGACGCACCTTATCAATCGATTTCGTGGGTGCCATAAACCATATTTAGACAAAAGCAATATGACAAAAATTACATAAAGAAATGGAGATCTTTATTATTTTATTTTGTGTTAACTGCTAGCTAACTTACGCTAGTTTGCGCCATGCTTTCGTAATCG